GTTCTTATACCTTTACCAAAATTAATTGAATTTAATATTGCTTGTCCATTAGGAAGATTAACAGGAACCTTAACACGAGTTTCAGATCGTGCATCAACATGAATGCCAAAAGGTGGACTATAAATAATTGGTATTTCTGTGTCACGAGTTCTTAAAATTTGATTTTTCATGTCTATATTAGCGTCAAGTTGTTTTAATAGGTCTGATCCTATTAAACCGCCATAATCGCTATCCACATTATAGATATAAAATTTATGATAATCTGTACTACAAAAAGTTTTAAAGAGAGGTATATAAATTACTTCGTTATGGTGACTCTGTGCGTGTGTACTCACGACTTCGAATGGCTCATAATATTTAAATTCTGTCAAATACTTATTTACTATTTCAGGACTTATAAAGGATCTTGAACTACCTGTGTCTATCATAAACTTACTATTTATTTCGGGAATTTCAATATGTGGCAACTTTAAAGCACCGTGATGATTTAAATGTATTAGTTCGGTTTGTCGGTTATTGAGGCTTGTGTATGAAAATTTTCAGGTTCTGAGGTCTCAACCGCTTCTTCTGAATTTTGTTCTAAGTGACAATAATTATCTGGTGTAAAATCATTCGGATCTATATTATAATATTCATAGGGATAATTATCTTCGTGTGTATAAAATGTTTCATGATCGTCATCTGTGTAATTATTCATATCGTCGTTCATGTAATTTGTATAAAATAAATTATTTGATGTTCTTGGTGTCATAAAATTTGGCTTAGCTTGAGGCGCCGTTCGCATCGATACATCGTTATCATATCTATGCACCGGTTTTGGTTGATGATTTTGTGGGATACCAAATTTAAATTGTTGTTGATTCGCTGTTTGGGGGAATGGCCTGTATCCAAATTGAGGTGGTCCACCACCAAACTTAAATTGTGAATTATTAGGATTATTAGGATTATATATCCCTTGCTTTTGGTTGGTACCGAATTTAAAATTAGAGAAATTAGGTTTAAATCCTTGAGGTTGTTGTTGTGATTGTATTCCGAATTTGAAATTCATTGGAGGCTTATTTTGGTATTGGGGTAATTGATTAAACTTATTAAAATTATTTTGTGAAAAATTATTTCGTGATAAATTATTTTGTGGTAAATTATTTTGTGGAAAATTATTTTGTGTTAAATTATTTTTTTCATTAATATTTTGAGTATATTTTTGTCTATTAACACTCCGTGATTTATATTGGTTAAGGAAATTTACTTCTTCCATTACTACACTGAGCGCGTCTTCTAGAGTTGTACATCTATGTAATCGGACAACGCGTATCATATCTTCGGGCAAATTGAAAAGGAAAACATTTAAACATGTATGGTTATATATATTCATCTTCGCGTTCTTAATATTCTCGTCCTCTATTAAATTAATTTTTGAAAATAATGTGCTACGGACGCTTTGGATTCGATTACAAAAGCTTAAATATGACTCGCCTTGATTAATTTTAATATTTTCTAATTCAATCGAAATACATTCTTCAGTTCTAGGATCTCCGAAATGTTGGATAAGAGTTGTTTTAAGCTCCTCCCAATTATTGATGTCTTGTCTCTCGCTTATTAAGTGGCTCGCCTTACCTCTAAGGCGGCTTGTTATAACATGAAATATGTATATATCTTGTGCTATATTCGGACGTTCTGGCCTAAAGGCTCTAATGACATACTCACTTTTCTTTAGAAATAAATTTAATAGTTTTTGTTCCCCATCGAACTTAGGTATGATATTTAGAATATCAGTTGGAATAGTGCGTATTTCTTGCATTTTTAAGAAAAATATTTATTACAATTAATTAAAAAGTTTTAAATTTATATTCTTTACTTACTTACTAATTCAATATAATTTTCTTTTGTTTTCAATTAAAATCTTTATCAACTTAAAATTACTTAAATCTATTTTACACAATACACAGTCAAACGGAAATAAAATGGGACAGGTTGGAATGCGAAGAGGTTTACTCACATAAGTCTGCAACCCATTTCTTCTATTTATAACTGCTGAATCTTCTTTCACTTTTTGACCTTTTACCGTCGAATTACGCGATCAATAATGACTTATTTGTTTGGTCGTAAAATATCCGTTAAATGCGTAAAAACACACGCGCAACCCTACACTCAGACTGATTTTAAGTCTTCACAGGCACAGGATCACGACGGATATCCTACCGGCTGCGCCAGTCAAATCGCGACGGTATTCAAAGGTTTTTTTAAAAAGGAAAACTTTATTAAGTAAATTACACTTAATATTCTTAACTTATAGTCGATATGAGACTCTTATTCTAAGGTGGTCGATATTAGACCCTAATCCTAAGGTGGTCGATGCAAGACCCTATCACTATGGTGGCCGATATTAGACTGCCTTTAATATAATTATAATCTTACAGCTAAAACCCCTTACATGATAACTTTGATTCGTGGTACACAATGGAATAATAAGACTAAGCATTGATTGCATTAATGCTTATGGTGCGTTCTGGATATCTGTGTGACATTGTAACTACCTACCACTTTGTTCTTGCGCCGGATAACAAAACAAAAAATGTTGTATATCAGAAAGTGCTTTAACATGCAGTATAGCCATATTGGCGCTAGAGATGAAGAGGCCTAATGTGTAAAACTGCCATTCTTCTTTCGCAATGGCACGCAATAAAACATTTCTGTATTTGCAAAAATGTTATTAATGTTATTAAGTACCTTAATGAAATACTAATTAAGTTTAACTAAAGTTAACACGATATTGTTAGACTGTTAGGCGGAACGAAGTTCGCCGGGTCAGCTAGTTTTATATAATGGTGAGAATATAAATAGTTTTGTTCACTAGCTAAACTCCTAAATTAATGAAAACACTTAATGTCTCGTGATATAATAGCACTTTGCTCTGGCTTACGTTATAGATGAGTTTCAAATATTGAGACTTTGTATCACTGTCAGCAAGCCTTAGTGCTTCCAAGAGTTATGCTTCTCTCCCTTCTACTATTGAACGTAATCCCTGAACAAAGGCTTTGTAGATGTGTTCAAAGCCATATTCACCAAGTAGCGCTGTATTGTTTCTTTTTTTAGCTGATTCTGACGAGTCAGTCTTCCGCGTTTCCAAGTAGATGGCGTGAAATCAGGTGTTACTTCTTCATAGTTCAGTAAAGTTAACAAATATTCTGGAACCAATTATTGCAGTTCTTTCTAAAAATTAATTCTTTTTCCTCGACGCTTCTGCCCATCGTCTATTAAAGGGAGGAATAAGATTACATTGAATATCACTGATAATAAGACAAAAGTCTTCGGAAACATGATTTTTCTTTTAAAACTGTCGATAGAGCTCCTAAGAAACCATATATATCTTTATATATGATTTAATAATAAAGGGTAGTGTGCATTTTGTTGATTAAAATTATACCGCGAAATGTAAAGCAACGGGTGACATTGGCAACTGTCAAATAAAAAGTCTCGACGAAGTTACAAAACTGTCACTTATACTACTATTACTATTATTACTTACTGTTAATTTCTTTTATATAAATATAATCCTAAAACCTACTATTTAAATGTTATATGTATATGAAATTTGTACGACACCTTATAACTATTCCTACAAATTTTTGGATGAAATTAATTTTATAAGATTGAAGCGAACTGATATAAAATAGACATTCTAGGACATACTTTGCGGAATTAAAAAACTACTGCAAATGAAAATCATGCAAAATCACTATATTATATTAAAGTTACACTCTTACACTATTCAATAAACTATTAAAAGTGCGTCAAGACAATAACCACATTAGTAAAAACTATTTTTGATATGCCGTTGTTCTACCATTTCACATAGTGCGCCGATAAAATTCATTCAGTTCATTCTCTTTTAGGTATCCCCACCCTTTAGGAGATGTAATAAATAATAAAACATTTGGAAAATTAAAATTTATTATCTTAGGTTAACAATTCCTAGTATGACTTATATTTTCTTAGAATATTCTAGTTATTGATTCTTATTAGGACGTAATTTTGACAGACCTAAAATACTTTTGCGCGCGTAAAAACTTTGGACAGCTCATTTGTCAGAAACTATCTCGTTATAACTGTCGAAGAGAAAATTAAACCACCCTAATTACATGTTTGTATTTTAATAAAACTATTTTAGCTGTTATAAATTCGAACTTATTATCAACGGATTATATGTTTGAAATTATAATTTTTTTTTTCTACAATCTTTATTATGACGTCATAGCCTGGATAGCCTTTAACCTTAAGGGCCGCAGTAGCAGAGCAGTTCCTGGGCAAACCGTCAGTCAAGACCGACTGCAACATGCGGTCCGTCTATGGCCACTGGGGCCTTTGGAATTATAGTTAGACTAGTCAAGGAGGTCAAAAGAGCAGCCTTCTTTCACAATGTCTACATTTCAATACATTCTAATCATAATATCCATCTGTCAACTTGATAACAAATTCGATTTTATATCCGCTAGAAAGTTTTTAAAACTTCTCAAATCATATATGTATTTGTATCAAATCTCCTAAACTCAAACACTTTAAATAATCTTAAACCCTGATAATTGTGGTACATATACTTGATATTTGACATATGAAAGTATGTTCGTCAGAAATTTAATCAGATGGCTCAAAACATTTTTTGCCTTGACATAGAAGCAAGTATATGGTAACAAGTTTCATACAATTTTTGACCATGTTTTATAAAAATACTTTTGCTTAAAAGAAATTTATTATTGAAAGGCAACATAATCGAATTTTTTAATAGTTTTTTCATGTTGTTCAGAAAATAGTTTTAAATAAGAAAGCTTTTCCTTTACTAAATTCAAGGCAATTATAGAAAATGGACTGAGTGGCAAAAATAAATAAATTAAAATAATAATTTTTCCAGGATTACAAAGAACTTTTCAGAAATCATTTTTGTTTTTAAAGAGCAAATTAATAAATTCTCAGTCCATTTAATATTGCTATATCATTAATAAATGTTATGTCTCAACAAATTTACGACTATATCCCCTTTTTTCACTTAAAGCTTGCTCCCAGGTTTTGCCAACTGTGCAGTAGAGCTGCATCGTAGCTCGGGCATCCTCAACAGAGCTGTGTTCCCCGTGTTGAATATCTATACCTAGTATTTCTTTCGCTAGACGTTTGAGGGACGGTGTGCTGCCTTTAGTGATCTGAAATTTGATAAGTCTTTAGTAAGATTTGATCAAACAGTATTTGAAATATTGTTGAAGACTGATCTATGATATCTGACTATCAATCTATGTATATTTATATAAATCTATCAATATCTTATGTCTCGGAAGTCTTCAACATGCCATTTCACTAACATTCTTTTAGCTAGCTTGAAACCAATAATCATTTGTCATTAAATTAACTAAATTAATTAATATAATTTTAAAGTTTAATTAGTTAGGGGTTAGGGTTAGGGTTGAAGGACTCCTTTCTCCGCAATTAGACTCGAGGTTGGTCCGTTGTGCGTACGAGTCCTGGCTAATTTAGCCAGCCTAGCTCCTTCCAGAAGCACAGAAGTCTCCTGGGCACTTCACAGGCTTCCCGGAGCGACCTGTTTAATTAGTTAATATTATATTAAAGATGCATTACCTTTCTAAATGGTTTATATTTTGATGTGTCTCTTATACATTTCTTAGGATGTGATAAGAATAGCACACTTAAATCAGTCTTGAGTGAATGGCCTACTACAATGCGTCCTTTTAATATCTCAGAAACTTCTTTTTGTACTATTATAAAGTCTTCACCATTTAATAAATCCTCTTTTCTAACTCCACTTATACTAGTTCTATAGTCTACAACTTCTTCTCGCGGTTTAACAAACTTGTCGTAAATACAGTCACCGAACTTATTAACTAAAGATACTCTAGCTATCATATGATCGTCTCCATTGTAACCTATTCCAACCATCTCACAATCCATTGCTATAAACTTAGTGAGTTTATTTTTTTTATCTTTCCTAGTTTCCTCTTTAACATTATCTACTTCATCATTGTCCAATTCTGTTAATTTATTATTCAATTTTAAAGTTTTCATGTTGTTTGCAACATTGTTTTGTTGATTAGTTTTCTTCTTTCTGTCGCGACGAAATGTACCTTTAAACGATTCTTTTTTATCCGTATCTTCTTTCTTTTCACTTTTTTTGTCCATGAAGGTTGTTAAATGCATAAGTTTTTGCCAATTTGCATCAATAACACCTCTTTTAACAATTGTTTGGTTAGGTTTCCCTATTGGGTTCCTTTTAAGTTTCTTATTATTTTCGACCATGTTTACATTGAAAACTTGATGAATAAGTTTACTAAAGATGTAATAAGCAAACACGAAAACACGGAAAACAGTGTTCAGCACAAAATCGATAATAAATAGCAACCGTATAAGTAAGTCGTGAAAGGAAATTAACATTTATATATATTTTAGCAACTGTATTAATATATTATTGTATTAATCCACATGGCTTCTCTACACTTGTCGTCTATGGTTTATGACAATTGACAAATATTAACAGTTATAAAATGGGCCCTATCTATATATTATTATTTCGTTAACATTTTTTTTTCCTTTCTTGGCCTGCACGGTTTGTGCATCAGCCATGCATGAATTTGGAAAAGAATCAGATAAATTTAGTATTTAAGTACATAAATGGTTATAATGTTATATTGTTATGAAAAATGAAACTGGCTAAAATTCTATATACACCAATATTTATATTAGATAAAAGGACAGAAATTGAAGTAGGAAAAGGAATTTTAATTAATTAATTAAAATCCCCAACGTCATTGCCACACTTACATATATCGTTAGGCAAAAGGTTAAAGTTAAGGTTAAGCCATGCCAAATGCACGGGAATGCATGCATGGCCCAGCCTCATTTGTTAACATTGAATATTTTTTTAATTCAATTTATTAAAGTTTAATAAAATCTTGTATTTATTTTTGTGACATGTAACCCTTAATAATCAAACAAAAAGTATAGAACTTTCGTTTAAAAATGTTAGATGAAAGATTGCGCCAAATGTGAGATATTTAAATTATTATTTACGTTGCTTACGGCAATACACAATTGTTGTGACTTTATAATATATATATTTTTAATATATATATATATATTTTTAATATACTTATATTCGTTGGTCATATAAGTTTAATATTATCATGTTTCTGAATTGTGTTATCGAGTTGAAACTTGAAAGTGACATTTGAGTTTTGACAAAACATCAATTGCCAATATTACAAAAACAATATTTAATGTTTTTATTTTGATTTACAATTTACACTAATCATTGATGTTTCGCCTCAGAAGTGAAGTTATTATTACTATTTAAAAGCCGCAATGTATATGACGATATTTTAAATTACAATTTTATATTAGGTGATCTATTACACAAGAATGTAAATAAACAAAATTGTCTCTAAATGTCAAAAGTCGGCCGACGGCGACGTGTTTTTGTGGTGGGGAATATTTACGTGAAAATGTATGAAGGTGATGTGGAACGCAATCAGTATACACTTTCTAATCGTGGTGATCGGTCTCGATAAGATATAGTTCTTTTGCCGCGCATCAAAAAATGTCGTTCGAAAATCTTAAGGATTATGTGAGTGCCCATGGTCAAGAACATCTTATCAAGTATTGGCCGGAACTTAATGACAATGAGCGGGAACAGTTGGCGGGAGAGATCCGGAAGTTAGATCTGGCGGAAATGAATGAAACTTTCCACAGAGCGAACGAAACTCCAAAAGTAATATTGGAAAAATTAGATGACGAATTAAAACCTATTCCACAAACACACTATGAAGCTGTTCCCAGCTTAACTGAGGAAAAAATTATGGAGTATGAAAATATAGGTTTACAAGAGATTTCTGATGGAAAAGTTGGTGTATTGCTTCTCGCGGGCGGGCAAGCCACAAGGCTTGGATTTGGACACCCTAAAGGCATGTATGATGTTGGTTTACCATCACACAAAACCCTGTTTCAAATCCAAGCAGAAAGAATTCTTCGTGTGCAGCAAATGGCAGAAGAAAAAACAGGCAAATTTGGTAATATTACTTGGTATATTATGACTTCTGAGCATACAAAAGCTCCTACAGCGAAATACTTCAAAGATCATTCCTTCTTTGGCTTAAATGAAGGAAACATAGTATACTTTAAGCAGGGTACACTTCCCTGTTTTGATTTTGAAGGAAAAATTCTACTTGATGAAAAACATCATATTGCCTCTGCTCCAGATGGAAATGGAGGCCTTTACCGTGCATTGAAAAGTCAAGGCATTCTAGAAGATATCAAAAAGCGCGGTATCCAGCACCTACATGGTCACTCTGTAGATAACATTCTAATTAAAGTGGCAGATCCAGTATTTATTGGTTATTGCAAGAGTAAAAATGCTGATTGTGCTGCAAAAGTTGTTCAGAAATCTTCACCAAGTGAAGCAGTTGGTGTGGTATGTAGAGTGAATGGACATTATAAAGTGGTGGAGTACTCTGAGTTGACCGATGAAGTTGCAAACAGACGAAACCAGGATGGACGCCTAACATTCTCTGCTGGAAACATATGCAACCATTATTTCTCAGCTGATTTTCTTCTAAAAATTTCAGACTTTGAACGGAAACTAAAGCTCCATGTTGCAAAAAAGAAAATACCATATGTTAATGATGGAATAAAAATAAAACCAACTGAACCAAACGGTATTAAAATGGAGAAGTTCATATTTGATGTGTTTGAATTTGCTGAGAATTTCATATGCTTAGAAGTGGCTAGAGATGTTGAATTTTCAGCTTTGAAAAATTCAGATTCAGCAAAGAAAGATTGCCCATCAACTGCTCGGGAAGACTTATTGACACTTCACAGGAAATATATCAGGGAAGCAGGTGGTATTATAACTGATGATATTGACGTTGAAATTTCTCCCCTACTTTCCTACGGAGGAGAAAATTTGAGGGAGTTTGTTGAAAATGAAGTGTTCACAATTTCACCATTCCATTTAAGCGGTATTCATGAAAGTAATGGTTATCAAAATGGCAATCATTAATCAGATTATAATCTGATAAATATCATTATCAGTATACACACTTGAAAAATTAATTATATTAAAACTCCTTTGATTTTATACAGAACAGGTTCATAATTTCTCAAAATGTAAAAAGTTTGTTTAAAAACATTTTAATATTAATTCCAATTGAATCAGTCTATATGACTGATTTACTAAATAATTGTAATTGAAACGCCTTTAAAAAATGTAAATATAAGATCAGAAAAGCTTGCCTTAGCATTTAGTAAACAAAAATTTAGGCGGGAAAACTGCATACTGCCATTAAGATAATGTCAATGTCATTTACTAACAAGCAATAATGTTTCCTATAATTAATGACCTACGATTATTAATCTACAATTCGTAGAAATTACGATTGGTTAAAGACTAGCCGATCTTTAGTTTATTCTACGTATATTATACCGAAACATATTTATCTACCGTTCTATTTATGTTCTCTACAATTTTTATAGTATTTATAATTAATACATTTACCTGAATCACACGAGAATCTATATACTAGACGATTAATACGGAAACTATTCTTAGGGATTCGTTTTAACGGATCGATCCAACGATGTTCACTTTTGTAAGTGTATCAATAATTAGAAAATTTATTAAAAAGTTATGGTAAAAATACGGATCCGTGTGCTATGAAGTCAAAAATACTGTGTTTAACATAGGTTATATGATTTTTTCTGTGCTATGTATTAAATTTCTTCCAAATTTCTAGTCAACGGTCATAATCACAATGAATTTATTATGTACATATGTAATATACGTTTTTAGTATTTATAGAAACGCTAGTAATTTGTATGGTATATATTTGTTTAATATACCGGGAGTAAAATAAATATAATACTACCATCACGAATAATAGTTCGTCAATTGTTGATTGGCGAAAAATTTCAAAATATGTCAACATTTTTCAGTCATAATATAGCTCCACTAATCAGACAATATAAACGGTATTAGTTTCGTAGAAAAAAATACTCGCAGATTCAATTTGTTATCTATTGCCAAAAAGAAAATTAGAAAAATTCCTTTTTTAAAATTGACAAGCATTTGTTTTTTTGTTCTGCAGAGTTTTTATTTGGTAATAAAACCTCTCGGTGACAATATAGCGAAATTAAATTGAACTATTTTAATCTTAGTTATACAAGCTTCCAGCAAAATGTATTATAATGAAAGAACATAAAATCTTTATGCTTTACGCAATTGCTATCCATTAATGGATGTTTATATTTTATATAATTGTTATAGTTGTTTATGTAAATATATTACAAATTGTTAGGCCCTTTGCCTCGCAAGGCTTATAATTTGAAAATTCCATGTACTTACTTAATTTTTAGATTTTAAACGTTATTAAATTGTTAGATTTTTATGTACATATATGAAATATGCAATAAATAATTATACTGAAAATTCTTGTTTCTTAATCGACCAATTTCTTAAAGAGCCCTACTTGGAATCGTCCATTTTATCTCAATTAATAATTATATCTAATTTTGAGCAACGGCCTCGAAACTAATAGTCCAAAATGAATGCACCTTTTTAGTCGAAGAAAGAATTCAAAAAATAATTTTGTCAGTAAATATAATTTAAAGATGTACAGTAAAATGAGAACTCCCCCTAGGACTCCCTTTGCCGTAAAAAATCTTGGTTTTCGGTCTGTTATTGTAATATCACTGTTATTTGCTAAGAAAAATAGTACATAACAGAGATTCTCTTAATAGACATTGTAAGTATTGTTCTTGGACACTTTCTTATGTAAAATAACCTTTTTAGTAAATTAGGTTAGACTTAAATTATTTATTAGTCTTTAGTTAGGTTCGTCGTAATTTTAAATGATGTCTTTGTGCATGGACAATATATAATAAACATGCGTCTGTGCGACATTTTACTTAATTACAAATTTTCATATTGAATATCCAGATAGGGGCCTCATAGCCTAGCGGTCTTATTAAGTGGCAGCTAGGTGAGGGGTACCGGGTTCGATTCCCGGTTCGAGGGCAAGTTTTATTTTTGTGCGGAACCGGGCGAGAGCTTAAACCGTACATGGAGGACACGGTCGAATTTCTAAAGACAAGCACGAATTATAAAAAATCCTATACTTGACGCTGGCTAATGCACAAATCGTGCCAGAGCCATAAAAAAAATATCCAGATAAATATTTTCTAACTTTATGACAGCGTTATCAAATTAACAGTGTATATATATTATGTATATATAATTTATATAGTAGTGCAGCGAACTTAAACCCCACGACGTTGAGGTCAATGGATAGAAATGTCACTATCCAGTCAGTTCTGAAATCAAGGGCGTAGAACTGACGAAGTGCCCAGACTAGAAACGCCGCTCTTTTTAACTTTATTCCGCTATATTTGTTTACGTGACTTGAATAACATGACTCCATTTAAAACAAAATTAATATTTTTATGAATTCATATGAGTTGTGACATTTATGAATACTAAATGTATTATGTGTCCTTATTTTTACAGTATATTAAATAAAAATGTTATGCCATTTTTCCGTGGAACATTTTTTTTAATTCTACTTCTATGGTTTAATTACTGTTCCACAGATATACTGGATCAGTGTATCCGAACATTTTTTGTACCTTAACCATTTATAATTTTTAAATATTAAAAAACTGAATTGTTCACTTAAGGGAGAAGGTTTGAGGAAGCAATTACTAATTGTTAACGAAACACAGTAAGTAAATTTTCAAAACATAAAGAAAAACTGAAATTCAAAATAGAAATAATTTTAATAAATTTTCGAATAGCCCTTAGCAATCAAATTTCCCCCTGTGGGGAAACACTATATTATATATTTCGACTACCACATGATTTACACTGTTCGTGTTTTACTTTTTCCCTCCAAAACTGAACGAAGTCGCTGTCACGTTACACAACTAGACGGGTAATATTTCGTAACCTGTTATAATCGAAAAGTGAATGCCAAGTTTTAACCTTGACAACGTAATTAATTTGTAAATATCTTCGTAGCTCAGTGGATTAATAAGGAACGGGTTCGTAGCCTCGCATAACATTAAAAAGTTTTAACGGATGTAAATATAACTGCCGTAAACACTAAATATGGAATCAAATAAATTCTCGTTCATTTCTGTTCATTCACTCATCTCACACTCAATCATCGTTCATCAAAGAGCGTTCAAGTATTACGTAACGCAATTTTTGGAGATTATTGACCCTCCCCCCATGTATCTCGCCGTAACGTTTTTCAGTACCCTAGTACAGTACTGTACTCAAGTATAGTAAAACGTTTCGTGACCACCTTGTGCCTCTTTAGTTACTATTATGTGGTGTAAGTCGAAAATAATATTAACAATAACGCGTAATTCAATCCCCGTCCCGCATCGTAACGTTTTACAAAAGGACCCCCCAAAAAAAAGCGGTAAGTGATGAGGCTATGGCCGCAAACTCACCGGGAAACCATGGCGACGTCACTGGCTCTGTATCCAAACAATTTATATTCAAATGTATGGCAGTTAATTCACTTGGCGACGGTTTGGCAACGTTGCTCATTTGGAAGCGCAGCCAGGACTAAAGCCTCAAAAACCTTTCTGGAACCTTCTTTTCTTTTTGAAGTGAAACTTCTTTAGGCGCCTGAGGGTAAAATTTTACGAAGATGTGCTGCGCTTTTGCCAAAGAAAAGGGAGACAGCAATTGAGACCGATTAAGAGAGAGTGATAAGGGTGAATTACCTTATAGAAATTCTATTTTTAAAATTAAAATTTCGTAAAGAGAATTTATGAAATATTAGTATTTTATATTTTATGCAAAATAATTTAATGAAATCTCAAATGACGAGTTGTAACTTAAATTGCCACATGTTTTTATGATCGAAGAAATAAATTAAAAATTATTTGTATTGATTTTGGACACATAATATTTTAATGACAATTAAATTCCCTCCCTCTGAGTCTCAGAAATCTAAAGTTTTAGATTTGTATAAATATGAAGAAGAGTTAAAAATTAGTTTTCCAAAGAAGTTTCACTTCTGACATGTGTACTTTGTGCGCACTTTTTTCCCTTTCTGGAACCTTCGCCAAGTGAGTTAACTGCCATACATTTCAAAACAAATTGTTTGGATACGTAGGCAGCGACAACCGATTTTCAGTGCTCAATTTAGAAAACAGCTTGCCTAGATTTTCAAGTTTTCCATGTGATACGTTTTTGACTTACTGGAGTCACAGTGTTTTAATTAAAATAATCAAATTACAATAGAGTACTATTTGACTGGTATGTGGTAGAACGAGTTGCCTCATGGGCGCCTCACCGTGTCGGTTGTGATATACAACTGGCGGAAGAGATAACATTAATTATATATTGGCGTAATTTTAATATCAAATATGGCTTGCATATGTTAACGTAAAATTGTAAACACCGTTAGATTGTAATCTATCTCGCGAGATTATAAACTGTCGAAAGATTGCGAACCTCAGCGTACTGCTACACTAACTTAGTTATCATTCAAACTTCTTTGGTCAATTACAGATTAATTTTACTTCCCAACAATTTCATATAACTACCGAATAATAATACGTTAATTTGTAAGCAGTTCGTTGAGGTTCACAATCTTTCGACAGTTTATAATCTCGCGAGATAGATTACAATCTAACGGTGTTTACAATTTTACGGTGACATATACATACCTATTGAGCAGTGTTGGCCTAGTGGCTTCAGCGTGCGACTCTCATCCCTGAGGTCGTAGGTTCGATTTCCGGCTGTGTACCAATTCCTTCCTTTCGATGTGCGCATTTAATATTCGCTCGAACAGTGAAGGAAAACATCGTGAGGAAACCGACATGTATTAGACCTAAAAAGTCGACGGCGTGTTTCAGGCACTAGCACAGGCAAATTATCATGAAACAGATTCAGAAATCTGAGGCCAAGACCTAAAGAGGTTGTAGCGCCACTGATTTTTTTTATAAATAGCAATAGACAAAAGAAGACGAAAAATAAAAGTTATA